AATAGTGGAGGGGAGGGGAAGATGTGTTTGGAGGAGGCAGAAATAGCGGAGGATGATGCTTTGAATGTGGAAACTAGTTGGGTGAAAAGTAAGGACAAGTGAAACCCTATCATTGTTCTGGGAAGGAGGCAAACAGATGAGGGCAGAAGTGAGGGAAATGGTTTGGATGCGATGGAAGGCCCTGTCAACCACAATGTGGGGGGGAGGGGGAGTCGCTTGATTGAAGAAAAGAAAGAGGATGTGTCAGAGGCAGCCCAGTGGAATGTGGCAGCATCAGAACAGACACAATAGCAACAGAGAAACTGGGACAATGGAATGGAATCCTTACAGAAAGCAGGGCGTGGGGTGGTGAAGTTGAGATAACTGTCAGATTCGGTGAGTTTTTAATGGATTTTGGTGGATAGCTGATCCTCAGAAATGGAAACAATGAAGTCAAGGCAGGGAAGTGAAGAGTCAGAAATGGACCAGGTCAAGCTGAGAGAGGATGGAAATTGAAAGCAAAACTGACAAATTTTTCCAATTTCTTGAAAGCTTGAAACTACTGGATTATTGTTAAAAACCTATCTGGTTCACAATGTGAAAGAAATCTGTTGTCCATGCCCAGTCTGGCCTAGTTGGCACAAATCAAGGACTCAGAACATTGTGGTTGACTCTTAGCTATTGAATTCAAAAGAGTGGCTCACCACCACCTTCTCAAGGAAAACTAGGGATGGGGAACAAATGCTGGACTTGTCAGCAGTGCCCAACCTGTGGGTGAAGAAAAAATAACACTGAAATAGCCAAATGCAATGGTTGGTAGTGGTTGGGCAACCAACAAACAAAACGTAGACCTGAAACTTACGCTTTTGTTTTTGGTTAAGTGTGAGTTGCTTTGAGTTTTTTGAAAGGATTCTTGCCGCAAGGCCGAGCAAGATTTCTCACTGTATCTCACCAAGCTCATTAACTACCTACCTTGCCCTATGACATCTCTTGCATCCGATTCTATCCACATCTTACCGCACTCTGTTTCCGGAACAATTCACAACTCACTGGATATCCACTGAAAGACAAGCATGCGCTATCTTTAAAAGGACACTGTGCAACCAGCGGAGCACTGGTGCTCCAAAGTTGCCCTGCTTGGTTGAGGACGAAATCTAAACATGTCAAAGAAGGGTAAGATGGCACCGACAGGGACCTGGAGGTCCTGCTTGAGACACTGGTGCAAAGGAGAGAAGTCGTCTTCGTAGAGGATTGGCAGAGGAACCAGCTCCATCAGACCCCGGCAGGCTGGTCCACAGTTGGCACCCAGGTCAGTGCAATATCCACAGTCCAGAGGAATGACCAGCAGTGCCTTGAGAAGGACAATGACTTTGGTTCTGCCAGGGTAAGTGCCACACTTTTCTCTCTACTATCTCACACTCACTCTCTCTCTGCTACTGCACCCACCTCCTATTTCGGCTCATGCTCTGCCACTCTGACTGTTGCCTGCAACATCTTCCATCAGTCACTGTTGTTTCTCCTCAGCATTCTAGACCATTAATCCTGCATGGCCTCAGCACTGCCTGCTCACCCCCTTAGATCACCTCCCTGTCTTTCGACCATCTACACCAGCACTAACAGTTGTTCTATACACTTTCACTTCACTCATCCTTCCTATCCTGTCATTCTAAGAGAAGATGGCCTACAACAGAGCAGGAAGAGCAGTGTCCGACATTTGATAAAAAGAGAATCTCGTCCTCGCAGGAGAAGACTGAGACTGGTTCTGCGGGGATGCTGAGATATCTATGTTATACCAATCAAGTGCCACTTGATTTCCATTGCAACTCTCACAGTCAACCTGCTCGCATTCTCATTCATTGCATACCCTTTCTCACCACTGGCCTTGATGCCTTCTCTTTCTCTCTTTTGTTTTGCAGTTAGCACCGGCATGTTCACTACCACCATGGGGAGACAGCTGCCTCCGTCAGATGCCACATCCTATTCCTTGGAGTGTGAGAGTACCAAGGCCTCAGAAGAAGCATCAGCAAAGTTGCTTTCTGTACCTCCCACCAGCTCAATTACTGACACCTTGGTGAGAACATTAGGTTCACAAAGTGTGGGAGCATAATCTGGTGAGCACCTCATTGTGACAGGCTGGCTGAGGAAGAAATAGCCCAGGTCGCTGGCACTTTGGGAACTGCCAGAGACCAGGTACCTGCTCAGTCCTAAGACAGGAGAGGACCCGGCGGGGTCCATTTGCACTGGAAGGAACAGGGGCATCATGCAAGTTCGTGTGATGCAATGGTCCTCATTGCCAAGAGGCTACAGCAGTGCAGTGAGTCATGTGACCATCTGGCTGCCTCTAGACAGTTTGGCTTCTGCCGATCAGAACCAGGTCCAGCACTCTTAGGGTCTGGCGGAGAGACGCACAAACCTGCCCTCCCATCACCGCAGCCAGTCGTCATCAGGGCTGAAGGTATGGCGACAAGGTGGGGAACCTGGCTCACACACACTCCTGGTGCCCCTTCCTCACATTGAGACAGGGCGGTGTCGGGAGGTACCCAGCCAGAGGAGCAACCATATACTGGTCCCACTCTGAGCAGTCCAGAGGTGGCTAGGCCTTTCACCTCCATCTTCTCCTACCCCCTTCAACACTTGGAAGTTGCAGTTTCTGGCAAAAGTACCTTTAGCATGTCAGGGCCGTCCTGACACAAACACCGGCAGGGTCACCCAACAAAACCTCCAGGGCCACCAGGCTGCACCCCAGCTGTACAACCAGGGAGGAGAGAAAGGAGGAAACCTATTGAGAGTACTTTGTTGACACAGGGTGACAATGCATGGTACATTATTTGTCATGTGTCTATAAACAACCCTGTTTGGACCTTGCATCTGCTTTTTTGACTTCCTGTAATAGTGCTGAATGTAACTGTGCCAGCATGATGCCTGCTCCAACATGTGGAAGAAAGAAGAAGCAGGCAGATAAAGAGCAATAGGTTCTGCTGAGACAATTGCCCCTCATCCTTCAACGTCCCTATTCTTTCCCTAGCCTCTGTGTCCAAAGGTGTTGGTGTGAATGAAGTGGTCAGTGATGCCTGGGGAAGGTACCTGGCAAACAGGGAGCCAATGCCTTAGGATGGCC